AAGAAATCTAGACGAGATTCAGCGAATCATATCTTAAATGTGTGAATTGCTTTCACTTCGCTAGCATTTTGTCAATACCAAGAGGGTTGTCGCAGATTTGAACACCAAGTCGTGTATTTGCTAGTGGAGTGTTTTGTTTTTGAATTGTTTCTAATATGATACTGATATAATATGCAGAATTTTAGAATACAGCCTAAGATGAAAATTTTTGTGACCGTTGAATATATTTACCTCTTACATTTCATCGATATCCCGTATTTATAATGCACTTCTCTGATGATGTCTATGCTTCAGAACTAAAGTACAGTTAGTACTGCCTTGTCTTTGAAAATACCCATTTGTAAATCACTGCACCATAGAGTCTCATGTTTTCTTTCCACATATTTATCTATCACTCTCCTGAAGGATGGATGAAAGGCTAGTGACCTGATCAGTATCCGAATCTCCGCGACGATGTTGGAACTGCGTAGCCAGGGCTTTATTGACTTAGCTACTTTAATTTTATCTTTCACTGCGCAATTTTTGCTCGATTGCTGTAGTCGTATTAATTGAAGTTTTGGCATTTGCACTCTCGAAACCATATTCATCACCCTATGAGATGTAATCTTCAACGTAAAAATCTCATCATTTATCATATTAATCAGTACATTTTTGTTGAAACTCACCGCGTTGGTTACTAAGCAGATTTATCGTATACCACAGGGCATCAACTGACATCGCTACTCCTTATCGGCACGTAAGGACACGGCTTTACTTTACGAGCGAGAGTCACATCCACTCGCTAATGAATCTGCTTCGATACGGAGGCTTGGTGACGGCGGTAAGTAGGCATAGAGACGTGCATCTACGCACGCAACGCAGCTCCATCTTGACTGATCATTTGACCGTTGTTTTATTTATGAAAGCTGGATAAGCAGTGGGAACGTGCTATGACTTTCCTGTCGTCGGTGACCGAGTTCAACTACATGGCGCAGTTGGTGCTGATGCTTTACGAGGACACTACGAAAGACGTAGAGTCTGATGAGCGCTTTCATGTTGAACTACACTTTTCCCCTGGCGCATTGCCTTGTATTCAAACAACGCACGTTGCTGGTCTCGGATACCGGTAAGGCGAAGTAGGGTGTTTTATGTACTTTAAATAGCCTACCGTCTATTTCTAGACCAAAATCTTGTCAGGCCGACGAAGCTAACGATGGACGAAAATCCAAGAAGCTGAATAACTTAGACTCTGATAACCCAGAAGAGGTGCGTTATAATTGTTTGCTGTTCTGCATGACACAGAACCTTCTGCTTCTAGATGACCGCTTCCGCGCTTCGTAAGGCGACTTCCAAACTGCACAACTCGATCGGCGTTGTTTCCGTTGAGCGAAAAGAGGCTGACAAACCAATCAGTAAAAATCTTATCAGTTCGTGACATACGATTGCTTAATATTGCATTATTCGTGATATTAGCTTCACTGTTTATGGGCAACCCTGTAATTTCACTTCAGTCGAAGACAGCTTCTCAGGTCAGGATGCAGCCTTAGAGCTGAAGTTGGCTGCGTCGTTAATACTTAGTCCTATTCCTAGTCGAAGTGTAGAACTGTTATAAATCTCAGGTTGCCGTAGCAGTTCGATAGGGCTTTTGAAAAATGGAGTGTGCATAAAATGTAAATTAACGTGCATTTACTTATTACAGTTTGTCTGATAAATGCATAAATTCACCGTAAATTCGGTACCGTAATGGAGTTAACCATGACTTTTCATCACGTCTCGCTTTACAAATCAAATAATCTGAGTTTAATTCTGTGTTATTTGCCAGTGCCAGTTTTATCTATTAACAGACATCGAGGTTTACCAGTGTCACCGTTTCTAGAGTACAGATGCATGCTTTTTTTAAATGAAGCTGTGTTTCAGCCAGCGAAGAATTGGCCATGCACTCGCCAACTCGTCCGATTTCACCAGAAAGGTCTACGTGCATCGCAAAGTCGCGCTCACTGACCGACACCGTCTGCTCTTTGCCTGGTAAAGTCTTCCTTATTTCACAGGTTGTCTACCGGTTTCAGATTTTGACGCACTAAATAAAATTCTTGCCTACATCATTATTGACACTGTTCTTGATCATAGGCTGGGTAATATTATAGGTCGATTTGTTCAAATTTTGATTAAAGGTACTGGTCCACAGTAGTCGAATTTTGTGGCTGATACTGTCGAAGCGTTTCATACGTAATCCGTGCAAAGTGTCACTCTACGCTGCTCTCCTTCATTCGCAGTGATTTCGAAAGAATGTGCAAATTTGGACAAAGTTACTGCACCGTTTCCATTTCTTGGTAATTCATGTAACTTGTCCAAGCATCGTCCTTTTTTTTCTGTCAAGAGTCGCATCTTCCGTTGAAAGGGTAGACGCGTAATTAGCTACAATTTTTACTGTCTCTTTATTGGGGATTCAGTCGAATGGTGGACTCTCTGTCCATCTTTGCTTGTGGCTTATTCTTTTCTACAAAACTGCTTCAAGTGGCATAATGAGTTTTGTCGACATTAGTTGCCGCTGATTCGTTAATCGATTGGTGTTGATCTTTTCTCGAGGTTTAATGTATGGAATGCAGGCTTTGATTTTGCTTGAGCGTTAAACATTTTAGACCATAATGACATTTTAGTGGCATCGCTAAAACAGCAATTCCGTAATGATATTTGACACTATCCCTAAACGTTAAGGTTTACGATCATGCAGACTGTCAAGGGATCGTCTTTAATGCATACTTTAGATTGCCTACGGAATTCTGAAAAAGTATTTCTATCTTATTCGCTGCGTTTTAATAAGATAGAAGTCACAAAGAAAATTTTCTTTCCGTTTAAGTAAGTTTTTTTCATATCACTTTTAAAAGCCACTTCCAGGTTTTTTTCTTAGATGATTCATACAGTTGCACGCGCTTCTCTAGATGGTTATTGCAGATTGTGGACCAATTTCTTTCGACCAATTCTATTGTCAGTGCCCTTTCTTTCTCACTGACATTTGCCTGAAAGTGTGGAATGTTTTGTCTCCAACTGATATTGCTTCGTCAGTGACAGGCCATTTGGCTGCCATAACCGCTACGGGGAACAAACTCCCCAGAAATTTCTTTTACCATGTTATTCTGTTTTGTTTATCATTTCGTATGCTCGATTTTGACCCGAAGTATGATTTATGAAGATCAGCGTTTCTGATAAAACTGTCATAATCAGCATTTGGAACTGCTGCTAGACGAAACACAAGTTAGAAACAACGTTATAAATTGCTGAAATTCTTCATGTTCCTACTTCTTGCCAACATCTGTTAACATTTACCAATCTGAAATGGGGTGTCCTCTTTACCACTGGTAAAGATATTAATTCTGATATTTAATTTCATTATCGATGATCATCAGTTACTCTCTGTCTTTCACAACATCTGATGAGACGGTGGTGCACTCGCTTTTTTCAGACGTTTTCTCAGTTTTGTTTGATCTCTTGGTTGGCGTGACGTAAATCAAGAAGTAGCAACTGCACTCTGGTGGACAGATTCATCACAGTCCGTCAAATTTTACGCAAATTTCAGGAATTCTTCCTAAATGACAGCTGTGCTTTTCTGTAGGCACCAAAGAAATTCATGAAGAGCAACCGAACTATTGCGCAAATGTGGTAGCTGTTCCCGAAACACTAGGAGGTACATTCATTGTCCCCGTATTGTTGTCTGTCCATGTGCTGTCCATTACCTTGCATCTGCTTTCTGTTTTACTAACCTTCCTACTTACTTAGCGATTTACACGTGATTGTTTACATGGGCTGTTTAGGTGTGTGGTACTTTGACAGGTAAGCGGTAACACTTGTGCTGTGAACTTGCTTCTACAAGTTTCTCTACTGAGGATAGAGGCTTCTTGACTTCGCTGAACAACATCATCTTTCCACGGGTGTTTAACATGTTTTCGTCTTGCTCGCTTAAAGAATAAAAGTAGTAAAGAGACGGCTCGCCATGCTTCCATCCTGGTTTATAGCCACAGTACCCTTGTACCCTTCTTCTCGACCGATCTCCTTGAGGAAATCTGTCAGACTGTTATCGTTGCCTCACTAGCTCCCTATTTCATGTGGTTTAAAAATCTTTATTAGTTTCTTGTTCTTGGACGTTCTGAAACAATTCGTTAAGTGGAAAGCTAGGTTTTTTTGTTTATCAGAAAAAGAGTATGTAAATTCTCCAAGGTTATCAAAGCAGAATGTGATGAAATTCCGCTGTAGTACAACATACCGTGATCTCTCAACGCACCATATCTTGGGAGAAAATGAAAAGCGTCATGCTAGAAGATCAATATTTTACTCACGCAACCAACTGCAGAAATCAGGCCCTTAGCGCAGAAAATACGAAATAGTCGTCTACGACCAGCGATAAGTGCTGGGCCATCAGTCACACAGATCAAATTGAACTAGCGTGAAAATGAAGCCGTGCAAATCTCAGTGTAACTTTGAAGAGGGACAGAATTTGGCCCAGAACGTCAGTGACTATATGTAATGCTTGTAATTAAAGATTTATGCGTTATTATGTGACTTTCCAAAGTTTAATTTAAATATCGTATTTTTTATTAAGAGCTCATGGAACCCTGAGATGTTAAACAGATAACTCTTGAAGTAAATATGCCGAATAGTTCACTGCTTCTGTTTTGAGCCTTTTAAGTTTGAGTATAAATATCCTATTTGCTTATCGTCTATTCCTCATATTTTCGTAGAAACAATCGTTGCTAGAGGAAAAGTAATGTGTAAGAAATATGAAGTTCGTTATTGCTAAATTGAAAGAAATGTGATCTATAAGATGATAATTGCGACCACATATGTGGGCCAATCTTTAATCGCTGTAAGTACATACTGTTTGAGTATCATTCTGTGATCGTAAAAAATTCATTAAGAATCATTACGTTGAATATTTATTATGTTTTCACTATTCCCTCACGAAAACAGTCATTACTTTGGCAGCATCATTCTCGTGGTGATCAACTACCACCATGTTAGAGCCGGGCTATTAATGAATCACTCCAAATTGCAGCAAATTAAAGTAGAAGTTTCAGTGGTTGCTGTGTTGGTTCAATGGACTTTTCTGACACTTTACAACTTTTTGCCAGTGAAAGTCAGTTCTGCGCTGACTTATGTTTGTATCATCTTGGCCTGTTTCCCGGATGTGATCGGTCTCCTGTCAGCGAAATTGTTGGTTCAGTAATTAAAAGGTTTTTAATGTTAAGGTTCGTATTATCAGCATGTAATTTGACAGGTCAGTGAAATTACCGAAAGTTTAAAATGCCTAAATTGAATTCCTTATATTTGCCATTTACCAGTTTCTTTAATTAGCAATTATCCAAAGTTCGTTAAATCTCTAGGGGCACATTTCACCCATATAGTATTCACATCGAACATGATCTTGAGTCTTTGAGCTC